CCCCTGGACCACTGCTAGCTCAGCAGACGGAGTTGGTGCAGAGCTGCGCGACGCCGGGTGCTGCACCAGAAAGACTCTGCCAAGCCGTAGGAAAAAAGAAATCCAGGTTAGCATCATTCAAAGTGGATTTTAGATACCTGCCAAGGTAAAACAGATGCAGTTCCTAAAAGGACCCACTCCCTAGTGATACAACCTTTGAGATGAAAAGGCCAAAGAGAAAAAAAGAGTCATCTGTTGAGTGATCTGGTCCCGGGACCACTTATGAACTCCCTCCATCTTCTGCATTCATAGCAGCCTTATTTATAAATGGCGGCATGTCACTGAGGCTGTGACCCAGCAGTACAATGAACACATGGCCTGTTCCCAGCAGAGAAAGGCTGCTAGGATGGGGCTACCCTGGGGATGCTGCTGCTAGAGAACCCCCTAAAACTGCATTTAAGTATTTGCCTACAGAGAATGTCCAGTGCTTGACAAATTCTCAAGGAGGTTCTTATCTCAAATCAGGAACATGAAGACCCTAAGTACATGTGACCTGACCTAGTGGAAAGATCACAGGGTTGGGAATGGCTGGGACAAAGTCACCTGGGACATAACGAAATCCTGCCTGAGCCACTGTCACAATGACTGGTTCATGCTTTCCTTCCCTAACTTTTCAGGTGGCTCCTGAATCCCAGGTAATCATCACCATCCCTTATTCTTAGAAGTGCTTTCATTCTGTGTTACTCAAGTGGTCATTCACTATTTTAAGCATGGTGCTAGGGACACAGGGATGAAAGAACAGTATTTGTGTTACAGAACTTAACTACTAATTTTACTACTTGACTGTAATTTCTTTGAGTGTGAGGATGATGATTATCTCCTACCTCCAGCACCTGGCAGTGCCTGAAACATAGTACAGGCTTTTTCAGTGCTTCTTGAATCGAAGTGATTTATTTTGATTGCTCTTCCATAATCTGACTCTGTTTTACAAACGAGACCTGGGGAGTTCACGCTTAAGGTCAGAAAGTGGTGGAGGACTGAAGAGCTTTAAAAAAGTTAAACACGAGGAAGATACTTCAAGATGGTGATGTAGGAAGATGATCCTGAACTCACCTCCTCCCACGATGCACCGAATCCACAATTACAATAAAACAGTTTCCTCGGAGAAAAACCCAAGAACTGGAGTGACACCTACACATCAGGTGAACAAGAAAAAACCCACATCGAACAAGGTAGGAAAGGCTGAGACACACTCATGGAATAAACCCTCAGTTTGGCAACTCCACATGGGGCACCCCAACTTTAAGACCTACACCAGAGAGACAAGCCCCCTAAACACCTAGCTTTGAACAATTAGGCAAGGAAAGGAAATAAAAGGCATCCAAATTGGAAAAGAAGTCAAACACCTAGCTTTGAACAATTAGGCAAGAAAAGGAAATAAAAGGCATCCAAATTGGAAAAGAAGTCAAGTCACTATTTGCAAATGAAATATTATTATATAGAGAGAATCCTAAAGATTCCGCCAAAAAAACCATTAGAACTAATAAATTCAGTAAAGTTGCAGGATACAAAATCAATATGTAAAAATCTGTTGCATTTCTATACACTAATAATGACCAATCAGAAAAAGAAATTAAGAAAACAATCCCATGTACAACTGCATCATAAAGAATAAATTACCTAGGAATACATTTAACCAAAGAGGAGAAACACTCATACACCGAAAGCACAAGTGAATGGAAAGTTACTCTGTGCTTATACGTTTGAAGAATTAATATTGTAAAATGTTCATACTACCCAAAGCAATCTACAGATTCAGTGCAATTCCTATAAAAATCCCAATGACGTTTACCACTGAAATAGAACAAACAATCTTAGAATTTGTATGGAATCACAGAGGAATCCAATAGACAAAGTAACCTTGAGAAAGAAGAACAGAGCTGGAGGCAAAACACTCCCCAATTTCAAACTATACTACAAGGCCATAGTAATCAAAACGGCATGGTATTGGCATAAAAACAGACATATAGATCAATGGATCAGAATAGAGAGCCCAGAAATAAACCTACATATAAATGGTCAATTATTTTTTTGACAAAGGAGGTAAGAATATACAATGGGGACTCTCTTCAGTAAATGGTGTTGGGAAAACTGGACCATTACCTACACCATATACAAAATTAACTCAAAATAGATCAAAGATTTGAACATAATACCTAAAACCATAAAACTTCTAAAAAGAAAACATAGGTGCTAGGAAAATATAGGCAGTAAGCTCCTTGACATTGGTCTTGGTGATTTTTTGATTCAATACTAAAAGCAAAGGCAACAAAAGCAAAGTAAACAAGTGGGGCTACGTCAAGCTAAAAAATTTCTGCATAGCGAAAGGAACCATCAACAAAATGAAAAGGCAACCTACCCAATGGGGGGAAAAAATATTTGTACATCATATGTCTGATAAGGGTATATATAAAAAACTCATAACAATTCAAGCAAAAAAAAACCCCAAAACCAACAATCAATTAAAAAATGGGCAGAGGATATGAATAGACATTTTTCCAAAGAAGACATACAGATGGCCAAGAGATACATAAAAAGGTGCTCAACGTCACTCATCAGGGAAATGCAAATCAAAACCACAATGAGATACCACCTCACACCTGTTAGAATGGCTACCATCAAATATAGATAAGAAATAACAAATGCTGGCCAAAATGTAGAGGAAAGGAAGCCCTTGTGCACTGTTGGTGGGAATGTCAATTGGTGTAGCCACGATGGAAAACAGTAGGGAGGGTCCTCAAAAAATTAAAAATAAAACTCCATATGATCCAGTAATTCCACTCGTGGGTGTTTATCCAAAGAAAATGAAAACGTGAACTTGAAAAGATACATGCACACCCATATTCACTGCAGCATTACTTACAATAGCTAAGATACTGAAGAAAAGTGTCCATCAGTGGACGAAGATGTGGTATACATATACAAGGGGATATCACTGAGCCATAAAAAAAAATCTTGCCACAACTTTGGCAAATGGTTGGACCTTGAGAGCATTAAGAAAGACAAATACTATATGATTTCACATGAGGAACTAAAAAGAACAGATTGGTAGTTGACAGATGTATGTGGGGGGCGGGGCGGGGGGGTACCAAATGAGTGAAGGCGGTTTGAAAGTACAAACTTTCAGTTATAAAATAAGTCACAGGGATGTAATATACAACGTGACTATAGTTAATAATACTATATTGCATATTTGAAAGTTGCTAAGAGGAAATCTTAAAAGTTCTCAACACAAGAAAAAAAATTGTAACTGTGTACAGTGACGGATGTTAACTAGACATATTGTGATGATGTCGCAATATACAGAAATATCAGATCATTGTGTTGTATACCCGAATCAATATAACTTTATGCCAATTACATCTCAATGAAAAACAAGTTAAGCCCTATAAAGCCAAAAACTGGTATTATTTAGAGAGTCGGAAATTGGACTCAAAAAGAGGCCATTTTCTGTTCCAGCACTTTCCCTAGATTCTAAGGAGAGAAGACGGCTGGAGGGGAGACAAGGCCAACTCAGAAGGGCTGAGGGTTAACGAGAGCACTAGTGAATGAGCCTGACCCTGATCCGACCTCCACAGTGACTGACATGGAAATGGACCTCAGTTGAGAGAGATGCGAAAGGGCATCTCTGGTTTAGGGATTAGCTGCAGATATTTGCAGCTGCACTTAAAGGTTTTACTACCCCTGAACTCTCAGCTCAGAAACAGCAAGTAAGTCTCATGTTATGTGTCACCTCCAAGTAGCTACCTGTAGACAAGGTTGCAGAGAATTTGGGGCCGTGTCCAGGATCAGGGGGAGGGGACTGTGGCACATGCACCATGTTGGCCATGTGCTACACGTTCGAGATCACTAATCCAACCTATTGATTTCAGTAAGTAACAAGGTGTGTGAAGAAAAGGCTTCTCACAAGCTGGAGAACACTGGCCTGTGAATGAGCGCCTGACAGAAGGCCTGCATTTAAAGACCGTTATACACTGATGTTAGCATTGGAGTAAGGTCTCTATTGGACTCTGTTGTATGTCCTGTCTGAGTCAAAACTTTTATCCATGACTTGGAATAAGACCTAGAGCATACATTCAGCAGCATACAGATCTGGGACAGGCACTCTCTCTTCTAATTACTTCAAATCTGAAGAACCCTGGGCCTCTGTTCCTGTGTGGTGCCGGGGAGGAACCCTGAATATATGAGGAACTCAGTGCCCTGACTAATATCACCTCAAAGGGAAGTTGTGGGGCCTAAGAGACGGGGCTGGTTTGCCAGCTCTTCCCTTTCAGAGAAGGAACTAAAAGCTCAGTTCCTCATGCAGGACGACCACCCTCTGATACCACAGACCCTCTGGCCTGGTGAGTTGTGGATGGGGGTGGTACAGAAGTGGCAGGGCGGGGACCACCACTCAGTAGTAACTGGGTGGCCGCCCCTGGGAGGGCCATTTCAGGACCGCTGCAGAAGTCATGGAGCCGCTGGGCTCAGAGCCCTACTGCATCAGATGCTCTCCGCAGCCTCCCTGCACCAACGGCCACAGCACCTCGTCAGGGTGAGGCGGTGAGTTTGCAAAGAAGAACAGGAGGATCGGAAGGACCAAAACACTGGAGGACAACTGCTAGATGAAAGCTCCTGCCACTCGGCACTGCCAGGGCCCAGGCTGTGTTTGGGGAGATGCTTTCCCGTGTCGGCAAGTGGGGAGGCCCAAGGAAAGACAGGCCTCCTCCGTGCTCAGGTCTGCGACTTTTCATGGCGCCCCCGTGCCCTTCCTCAGCCTCCCATTTCTTTATCCTCCCCATACTGCTGGAAGGGAGGGGACTGTCTGCACCCACCTCCCACAGCAGCCAGCGAAGCAGCTTCAGAGCAACAACAGCCTGCCTTCCTTTCTCCATACCTGCTAGTGCACTGACCAAGAAGTAGGCCGTAGAGAAGAGCTTCTGGTTGCTGACAGCATCCTCCGGGCCCGGACACCCACTCTGCATGCTGTACCCCACCAGGTGCAGGAAGGCCATGAGGTCCTGCTGCTGTGAGGGCTTCAGCTCTCCAGGTATCACCCGTGGGGGTGACAGATCGCTGAACACATCGTCACACTGCAGAGGGAGGAGGAAAGAGACAGACGTGATGAGGCTGGAGGCCACGCTGAGTGCCGCCCAGGTCCTCCGCCCATGACGAGTGGCCTCTTGCCCTTTGCCAGGGGTAAAACAAGACCCTGCGCTCTTGTATGTTTTGAAATTACTAATCCCCCAGGTTGGATTTCCTCATATGGAGACAGTAAACTGAGCCTTGCCCAGGTTTTAGTCGTTCACAGCGAGGGGGGGATGCGTGCAGGACGATCAGGTAGAACCTCCAGGGCAGGGCAGAGTCTAGTGGGTTAAACCAGGAACAAGTGACTACACATACAACTGAGGAGGGGGCCATAAAAGCATCATCCCATTGTGGTGCTCGAGCTTTAAACTCAGCCCTCCAGCCCCAGCCATGATCCCAACTGCACCCAGGGCAGCCTCGTCCAGCTGCACAGGACCTGCTGGGTGGTCCTGCCGGCAGGGACTGCCCAGGCCACCCTGGCACCATCCAGCCAGTTCCGCTTCAGCACAGCCTCCGCGTCCAGACCCATTCCTATGAGAGCCCGCCAGCCCCCCACCATCCAGGAAGCTGATGCTTTTTCCACGGGGTGCTGGCCTGACATTTCCCTCTCAGAAGTAGATATTTTAGAAAGTAAAAGTCAATGGGTGTTTTGAAACATTTGCACCCTCCCTGGGGCTAGCGTGCCTCCCACAAGCTCTGCATCCTCCGGAGCACGTAGATGCCCTGGGCTGTCAGACTGTTTCAACAACTACAGGTTCTATCACTGGCAACAGAGGTCTTTTGGCACAATCCAATTTCAAGAGGGAAAAGTAATGTGAACGCTCTTCTGGAGGTCATAAAGCATTAAATCAGGAAATTGGAGTTCAAACCCTCTGCATAACAGAAAAACAAAAAGACTACAAACAAACAAACAAACAAAGCAACTATAGTAAAAATCAGGCTTATCGTGCCCCAGCCTCCTTCCGGGAAATAGAGCAGAAAGTCTGGGTGGATGGAGGTTGGCAGCCAGTGTGTCTCTCACCATTTCTCCAATTAACTGTGAAGGAATTCAGCCTCCCCCAGAAAATTCTCCTGCTGTGAAGCAGAAAAATACAGAGCCTGTTTTTCAATCTGTTCTAAATAGAATAGCTCGAGTTACTGGACTCTACAACACCATCCCCTGAGGAAATGGGTTGACCATTGCCCCACCCTACCCCCAACTATGTGTCCACCTGGAACTTCAGCATATGGCCTTATTGGGAATGAGTGTTTGCAGACGCGATTAAGGTAAAGATCTCCCAATGAGGTCCTCCTAGACTGGGGTGGGTCTGAAGTCCAAGGGTGGGTGTCTTTTAAGAAACAGAAAAGGAGATGACATAGAGAAGGCCATGGGAAGGCAGTATACACTGGAGGATGCGGGCACAAGCCAAGCAGCCACCAGGAGCTAAAGGAGGCAAGGGAGGGTTCTCCCCTCAATTTTCTGGGGGAGGCATGGCCCTGCTGACCCCTTAACTTCAGCCTGCAGGCCCCAGAGCTCTAAGAGAATAAATTCCTGTTTTTAAACCAAGATGTCTGTGGTAATTTGTCACAACCGCCCTCAGGAACCGATGTCCCCTGAGATTCCTGACACCACAGCTACCTTTCTGCAGAGAGAAAACCAAGGACCTAGGAATAAGAAACAAGCTTTGGGGCTCCAATGAAGTGGAGAAATTTTAAACACAATTCTGTCCCAGCTCGGAGCCTTGTCACAATGGGTCCAGCCCATCCACATCTCCAGGACACCCAGGCGGAGACGCTGCGCCTCACAGCATCTCTGCTCTCACCACTTGCTCCAAGGCCAGGAGTAACTCGTCATCAAACAGGACCGCCTGCAGGATGCCGCTCAAGGCCGTCTGCTGCTGCTCGGGCAGCTCTGCGAAGGGACGGAAACTCTTCTCCAAGGGCAGAGTCACTGTGAAAGCAGCGAGCACACCCGGTCAGGACTGCTGTGCGTGGCTCAGAACAGGGACGGCAGCTCTTGCTTTTTATAGCTAATTGTCCTCAGTTCTTTCAGACACTTCCAGCTGCAGTCAGTCATGGAACTCAGACATAAAGGACATCGAGTTAAACACCACCTGCGTGGTTTCCGATAACCAGTCATGCCACCAGGGGCAGAAAGAGATAGAAAGAAAAGAAAGAGGGCCCCCAGTTTGGTTTCAGACTTCGCACTTTGTTCTGATGACTCACTAAACGTTAAGTCTAATCGATAATTTTCTGAAAGGCTCACTCAGACTCCTCTGGAGCATGAGGAAGTAAATTATCTGCAGAAGTAAATTATCGAGGCTGAATTACTAAACATCAGTCAATACTTTTACAATGCTTTGGAGTCATGCAAATTTCAAAATATATTCTTTTTCCCAGCCTTCCTTCTAATACATTGCGGATTTTGTATCCTTTAACCTTTAATGCATGCATTTCAGAGAGGCTGCACCATATTTTCATGGCACACACAGCTATTCCACTTTGCTCATTTTTTTTTTCATCTATCTGAGAGAATGCGTGTGTAGGGCCACCGGCTGGGTTGCTTACATCCTCTAAAGGATGCTGGAGCCTCTCCTTTTAGAATCTTCCTTTTAAAAAAAAAAAAATAGTTAACAGCATCTAGTAAATCAAGCCCAGTAGTGATTTAAAAGCTTTTGTATGCAGCGATGCACACTAATGCACAAATGCGCCACCTCTGCTGATGGCAAATTCCAGCAGAGGGTCGTGGAGATTCTCATAGAGAGGAACATGCCGCATCAGTAACTGACATTCGAAAACTTCCCTAGAAACACAACTAGGCCTTTGCCGCTCCAGCCTGGAGAGACGAGCTACCCTGGTTGGTCTAGTGTCCAAGGGCACAAAGGCCAGGCCAGCCCCCACCCCACTCCCGCCGCCCCACTTCACCCCGGGCTGACTACAATGGCCCATTTACAGGGTGTACTGGTAGGAAAGGAAATTGTAAGAAAGCTACAGCCCACAGACTGTCTTGTCACTTCCCTGTAGCACACACAGTTCAAGGCTGCAGGACCACTGCGGCTGTGGTTCTAACCCGACACAGACAGTGGCAGCAGAAAACCGCATCCGCTTATCAATCTCAAGGAAGCGGAAGAGGGCCCTGCATGAGACAGGAAAGCCTTATTTTACGACTGGGCTCTCTCACTGCCATTTCTTCCAACACTCTTTTTGCTACAGGAACAAAAGCATCTAGTTTGGGATCACGGAAACTCCTCCGATGAATCTCTCTACTGACCCTCCCAGCCAGAGCCTATTCTGAGCTGCTCCTAGCTCTTTCTGCTAAGCTCTCACATAATTGTTTGTTTCTCCTTTTCCTCGCCCATCTCCTCTTCTACTACATACTGCACTCTCACCCTCCCAAATACCCCCGCCCCCCAAAAACCCGACTTTTTAAAACAGGATGCTGAGGGAGCACATAAGTCATAGGTAGCCCCCTCCTCCCTGGATGCTGCGGCGCCATACGGCCTCCCGCCATGTGGATGAAGAGCCTCCAAGAGCCACCGTGCAATGCTGAGGAAGCATCGCGGGTCATGGCAGTAAAGCCTGGGATGTGATGGAACGGATCCGAAACTTGGGGTCTCTCTCCTTCCTGCTGGCTAGCTGTTGTTAGTGATCAGCAAGGCTTCTGTGGTTAAATAGGAAAAGAAAAAAAAAAATGCCAGGCCCCCGACTCAGACACTCCTCAGTCTCTGGCCCCTTTCCCAAAACATGACACCCAAGACCTGAGGTTTCCTGTGACCCGACCACGGTGAGTTGCCGCTGAGTGGACGAGGCCTGGCTCAGAGGCACCGTCTCCTGTGTTCTCAAATGTTTTCTGTGAAGTCACTGAGGAGTCACTGCTCCCGAAGGCCACATTGCCTCTTGGGATACAGCACTCTATTTGCCATCGGCTCACCATGCCCCACCTGCTGGCAATACCTTCTTTTAAAACACTCAGTGGCTTATCCGAGGCAGGCGGCCCCTGCCAGGCATCTGGCATGTCGCTAAACGCAAACTCTTGAAAGGGCAGGGAGCTCGGGGAGACAGAGTTGCTTCTTCTCTCTTGCTCAAAGCCACCATGCTTTCCTTGTAGGAGGCAGAATTCTGCAATGTGAGAGAAAAGGACAAGTCAGCGTGGGGCAGCCCGGCCACATCTCAGACCCAGCTTTCCCCAACTCGGGCTGAGCAGGAAAGCACATCTACCCTCTTTCCCATAAACCCGCTTCCTACACACACGCTGTTTGACCAAAACTCATCCACTTCCTAAAAATACAGGAGAAGTGGTTGTTCTTAACATAAGGCTCTCCTGTGTGTCCTCTTTGAACAGGCAGGAAGCAATCTTTCAAACATCAGAAGTCTTTCCTTAGTCTGATTTGACCTAACTCTAAACAAACAGATCTCACCATATATGAATGAAACAGAAAATGTGAATTTGACTGATACATTGGATTTGACTGAACTGATACTATTACAGAATTACCGACAGTATATTTAGGTGCACAGGTGGTTATGTTCTACGGTTCTGTTCTTAAAGTCAACTTTACTTCGTTAACAAACAATAATAGCAATAAAAAAGGAACTTATTTCTGCATTTATATGAGTGAATCTCAAACATGCTGAATGGAAAATCCAGACATAAAATATATTGTACATGAATCTACATGATGGCAAAACTAGTCATTTTTTTTAAAGCCTTATCTTTTAGAGATACTGAACTATTTATAGACAAAACAATATAATACCTAGGATTTTTGCTTCAAAGCGATTGAGTACAGGTAGAGAGAGAGAGTGAAATTACAGGTGGAACATAAATTGCCCTTGGAGCATGAAGTACATGGGGGGTTCATTATATTATCATCTCTACTTTTGAACACGTGTGAAACTTTCCCATAATGAAAAGTTTTAAAAAAATGTTTCCTTAAATACTTTCATATTTGATGACCCAACTAAGGTATCTAAACTATAGGTTAAAATATAGCCGTTCTTATGTCCTTGCTAAGCAAAGACAGTAAGTGAAGTCATGAATTAGGGTTCTTTTATGCTCTGTTTAATAATTTGTATACTTAAGCGCAGGCTATGGAATAAAAATGTGGCTGAGCTGGGTACGCGTATGACATGTGGAAGGCATGGCTATCGGCACATACTTTCTTTTGCTCGTGGGCATTCCTAAAGACAGAATGGCCGTCTAGGACAAATGAAACCGGCCTTCACTGACTCACTCATTCACTGGCCCCATGCTCACTAGGCATCCAGGGTGCCCCCCACTCGCTCCAAGCTTTGTACCAGGCTACAACAACCCGGGGCTTGATCATCAGTACAGAAGGAGTGGGGCAGGGGTAATGTGGATGGTAGCGGAGGAGGTGGACGGGTCACTTGGGGCTTGATCATCAGTACGGAAGGAGTGGGAAATGTGGATGGTAGCGGAGGAGGTGGACGGGTCACTGAAGCCACAGTGCCAGGTGCAGAGAGAACCAGCAAAGGTTTCGTGGATGAAGCAGTGTCTAAGGAGCCTCCCGAAGGTTCGGTAGGAATTAGCCGGGAAGAGAGGTAGGTAGCATGCTCCAAACAGAGCGACAGCAGTCACGGGGCTGGGCGTGAGAGCGGAGTGGTCCCAGACAATGGGTTAACTTGGGCCAGAGGCTGCCTCGGGAGGTGCTGGAGATGAGAAGGAAGGCTGGACATGCCCTGGGACAGGGCCACGATGCGTGGAAGTGCAGACACTATCTTGGGACAAAGAGAGCCTTGGAAGGGCGTTTGAGCAGGTGAGTGAAATGACCAAATTTTTATTTTTAAATAATTGCATTAGCTACAGTGCTGGGATGGAACAGACAGGAAAGATTCAAGGAAGCAGAGGAGCCAATTAAGAGTCTGTAGTGGGAAACGGGTAGGGGTGGAGGGTGGAGGGCAGCTTGAGGTGAAGGAAAGGGTTGTGGCCGAGAGAACCCCTCATCGAGGACGGTGTACAGATGCCTGCCCCAAGGGACAAGGAAGGGGTCGGCCTCCTCTTGAAGTTTCAAAGGATGCACAGGCTGCTTGTCAAATGAACTCCCACTCAGAAGGTGGGAGGAGAGATCAGGCAGCCTCTTAAGGGCCCTTCCGACCCTGCGGGTCTGAGTTTATGAAGCCAGATCAGAATATTCTGTAGTGAGAGCGGCAGAAAACACAGATGGGAAGTAAAAGCAGAACCGTCTTAAAAATCAGGCACCGAGCCTCACAGAGCAATAGCCTGACCACCATGCTGCATAGGCCTGGCAGTCGGCAATGGAGCCAGGCTTCCAGGGCCTAGGGTGTGGGAAGTGAGCCAAAGGAACCTTGAGAATTCCCTGGGTGGGGACGGGGTGTGGGACACCTCCTTACAGCAGCACAAAGAGGAGTTTATTTTCAAAGACAGAGGAAGCAAGCCAAGATAAAAGACTTGAAATTGAAATGCAAACAGGAGAGGCACACCGGGCCAAGCTGCCCCTTTCCAACCCTGTCTGAGCAAAGTGAGGCCCCCTGTAGGAGAGACGGGTGCCCCAAGAGAGCTGCAGGCTGGGCAGAGCACTGCCACCCCCACGCAGAAACAGGAAGGGGCTCTGCTCCCACTGCCTGGAGTGGCACCCCAACCTGGCCCCCAGCCACTGACAGGCCCTCACAGCACTCAGGGGCATCCCCAGGCACAGGCCGTGCTTGCGAAAGGCTTACAAAGTGACACCTCTGCATCAATCCGTTTGAAAGGAATAATCGAGGCAGACGCCTCCTGGGCTGGGATCGCACACATGCCTGTGGCAACACAACTTATCGTATACTGATGACAAAAGCTGGAGAGACAGCTTAATCCTCTAAATGCCATTTCTTCAGTAGACAAAAGTCTTTCGAACAGAAAGGATAAAATAATAAAAATGCCCAGGATGACACACATTTGGAACCAGGGGCCTAAAGAATACAGTTCAAGATTCTCAGTTTTCCCTGTGTCGCTGACCTGCCGCTCTAGACCAACCTCTTAGCACTGACACCAGCTCCGATGACTGCTCTTCACCTCTACTCACCCCACACCTTCCTCTCCACCCAGATTTTTGCAGCAAACCACAGTCACGTTACCATCTCATCTGTAAAGACTTTCAGTATAAATTTCTAAAAAATAGATGACTCTTTGGTAAACATAACCCTAATATTACTACCATACCTAAAAAGGCCAATGATAATTTACTATATTACATATATTCATTTATGTCCCCAAGAAGCAGTCGGTTTTCTTGGACTCAACACAAGGTCTTCTCAGGAAAAGTGTGAGGGAGGGGCGTGCGCACGTGAGATCGGCGGACACAAGCTAAACCAAAGCCCCTATTGTTTTCAAATGATACAGGATCTCCCAGCTTTGATACTCTGGGAGGGCAATGTTTTGGGCTTCATACTGGGGGAGAGGGGGGAGACAATAACAGTGATGATGTAATCAACAACCAAGGAGAAGTACTTCCTAAACAGCCACTGTGCCAGGCACTCCACGTGCCCCAGCTGAGTGAACCCTCTTCTCAGCCCTGTGGAGCCATCTTTCCTCTCCCAGAGATGGGTAAGGCTCGGCAAGATTCACCAGCTGGCCCGAGGCCTCACGGGACAGCGTGGTCTGAGGGCTGGTCCCCAGTCTGTCTGATCGCAGAAGACACATTTTTCACCTTGTGCCATGCTGGTGAAACCTCACCCACATCCTCCCAATGCAGCTCACTTGTCCCCTTGTCATGGGATGTCCCCAACTCTTCTGATACCTCTGGCCTCATGATCCCCAAAGCCACAGGAGAACTCCTACAAATGTGTATCCCAGGGGAAGATGGGGTATCCCTCAGCATTGGCTCAACCGTCTTGCGAGAGCTCCGAGGGGGCACTCACCGAACTGGCCATTCACTTTCACATACAACTCGATGACACTGTAGGCAATGGTGGTGGAAGCTGGGATCTCCAACACCACGTTGGTGTCCTTGGTGACAGCCCTATCCTCCGCAGCAGACACCTGTGGGCGAGAGCACATGTTCCCACCTATGCACTCCGACTACCCTGGGCCTCTGCCCACCCACACGAGAGGTGCTCGACAAACGCCCCTGTAACCAAGTGGAAAGGAGGAGCCAGCCAGCCAGCAGAGGCAAGGATTTCCCCCTTGTTGGCCTCATGATGTGCCCACATATTCTCAAGTAAATGGCCAACCTGGCGGCACAAAAGCGAGATTACAGAGTTTGGGGTACCGGGAAGTTAGGTCTATGGTGCTGAATAAAAGTAATAAATAGGACGAGATAATGTCCCATTTCCCTCATGGAGGGTTCTGAAAACTACTCTGAAATCTTAACAAGAATCCTACCCAATCTCCTGAGTGGGAGAACCTAGCTGAACTCCTCAAGCGTGCCCATCTAGACCTCTACAGATGGCACAACATGCTGTTAAACAGGCAAGAGGCTGGAGGGAGGAGAAGCCAGGATGCAAAGGATGGACAGGAAATGACAAGAAATAAGACACCGAAGCTTTCTCCTTCGAACGCTGTATGACCCTTGCTCACACTGGCCTGAGGAGAGGAAGACGAGAATCTGTCTGTTGCTCAAACACTGCAGGTGGGAGACCTTTACGAGCAGCCTGATCCTGGTCAGGGTGTGATAACAGCCGGCCTGCTGATTCCCAGGCAGGCTCTGGGCCTCTCAGGGGGGCGGTCACCATGTACAGGAATATTGGTGAGGCCAGCTGAAGCCATCTCCCAACAAGCACGTCCCTCATCACTGCTGTCCAGCCCACTCAGCCTACCCACCCAGGGCGGGTGCACTTCCAGACCCATATCTCTGCCTCCGTCCAAACTCAACATTCCCGGTCCTCTGGCAAAGGCCAAACATCAACCCAAGAAATGAATCTCTACGAATCAGATATCAGGCACCATGGCAACTGGAGGGAAAACAGCTTGGGTTGTTTCCTGCTCCACTAAAGTTCACTACTGGCTCAGGGTCAGCGTGTTAAGACTGTCTGCAATTTAATCCAGAAGCATCTGTTTATGCGTATATAGATAGACAGAGTATATATCCTTACCTTCCCCAACTCAATACGCAAAGGATTTGAGGCAGCTAATGCCTCAGTAACTCTGAGATCCCTGACTCGAGGGTCTCTAGGGGTTATCTGTGCACTGGGCCTGGCCCGTGCCCATTTAACCCCTTTTCTTTTGGGAATGCACCTGACCCAAGCCAGCGTGGCCAATCTGAGCATCCTATTGCCCTGGCCTTGGGGTGGCTTCAGGGTTGGGCGACCAAGATGGTGCCGTGAGGTCCAGCCCTGAAGCTCTCTTCCCCCTGGGGTTGCAGCAGGTGGGATGAAAGCCTGGAGCTCTCAAGGAGAGAGCGTGTCAGATGGAACACACCCCCGGGGGACGGGGGGCGGGGGAGCAGGGAGACGCATGAGTCTGCATCCTGGATCCAGCAGTGATGGAAGCCAGCTTATCCCAAACATTTCGATTACATGAGCCAATACATTCGTTCTTATTTAAGCCAATTGGAGTTGGACTTCTCTTAATTTGCTACAGAAAGAGTCCCGATGAATGAAGACACCACCGACAAAGGCCCCTGACCAAGGTCCCCATGGCTGGAACCAGAGAGAAGCTGAGGCCTCAGGCCTCCGGCCCCGCACCTCTGGCCCCGAGAGGCCTGCACCTCCGCCCCGGGAGGCCTGCACCTGCACCGTCTTGGTTTGGATCCCCACGATGCCACCGCACTTCTCCTCAACCTGGATGCGCTCAGAGATCACGCACTTCTGCGTTGTCGCTATCTTCTGTATCAGGACACACAGGACCTCATTCTTCCTCTCCAGCACCTGCTGCAGCACAGGGTTTTTCAGATTTATCGTTCTGAAAAGGAAAAAAAAATGTCTGGGAGTGGCCTCATGCCTCAGGGGAGACGGACGCAGCGTGAATTTAATCCGCACACCGCTGGCGGCTGAGGAGTCAACGGGTGACGATCAGCATCGTTTATTTCCTGAGGATGAGAAAGCGGGCAGCTCATCTGGAAAGGCATAAACCAAACTCTCCCGAGGCCACCTGGGAGCTGCCAGGCCTCCAGAGAAAGGCTGGCTGTGGAGGGAAGGAGGGGTCCTGTCAAATAGCAGGGCTGCTTGTCAAGGAGAAAGAAAAGAAACCCAACCTGCAATCAGTCTGCCTTATGCCTGGGGACTCTGCTTTGTCATTTAATCAGAGGCGGAGGAACCACAGACATCACAGCCCTGGCCCCGGAAATATAATATTACTGTGTAG